TAAATGGGCAAAATATTTAAATAGACATTTCATCCAAAAAATATAAATACAGGAAATGGTTTTATGAAAATCCAGGAAATTAATGCATTTAATAGATGAGATAGATAGATAGATAAAGATATATTTCTACAAAAACATTTGCTTGTTTAGCAAAATAAATAAAAATAAAATATCTTTAAAACATTTCAATAATTATGTGTTGTGGTTGTGTGCTGTTGAGCTGGAGCTGATTTATAGCTCAGCAACCAGCAGGTTTTCAGAGTCACTGGAGTGTCTTTGTGTGTATATGTGTGTGTGTATGTACATACATACAAATATTTGACATATATCTTATAGACAATGTTTTATAAGTTGACTAAAAGGATAAGATTGAAGCCGTACATTGTAATGGTGTTAAGGACAGCTGGAATTTTTAGATAATGTATCATTTTTAGATAAGTAAGAGTACTGTCTTATATACATGTTGTTTATATTATTTACTGTTGATTCTGACTCACACAATAATTTACATAATAAGAAGCAAAAGATGTATGTGTGCATGTAAGAGAGAGAGAGAGAACATGGATAATTTCTCAACCATTAAAATGACCAATAAATGCACTGCTAAGACCAAATATAATGTACAGAATAAACCATATACACAAAAATATAGCATTTATAAGGATGCATAGATATTGTACATAATATTGCATGTCACATATATTGCACATAGTAGAATCTATATCTAAGGGTCAAAGAAGAGTTAGAGTAGTGTTAAACAGAATAGGAGCAGTAAAATAAATTGTTTTAATCTAATAAGCAAGAAGTCTGAAACAGACCATTTGCAATAAATAAAAGGAGGAATTGGAGAGATTGCTATCTATACTTATTGTAGAAAAATAATGGAATGTTAGGAGAGAACCAAATAAATGGGATATACTCCATACAAAACATGCTACTTTAATCCATTTGTAACCATTCTGGAAAAGAGAAACTAGGGAAAAGTTTGTTCAGGAGAATTAACTGTTTTAATCCAGATCTATAAGTAGGAAAAATGGAACTTAAACAAGCAAAATACAACTAAAACCTACTCCCATGTGAGTATAAATTGTTTGGAAAATTAACACAGTAGACATTTGGTTAAGTTTCCGTGTGCTTCAGATATAATCAACAAATTGCTTGGTATCTCCTCAGGGATAGTTCAAAGGCCAAGGAAAATCTATAAGATGCCCTCATGCCCTCAGTATAACACATTAAGAAGTACATGGGCTGTTAAAACAGATTCACTACAGGTAAAAAATTTTATGCAGTGCTATATTTTACAAATAGCTAAAATGTTTAGTTAAATTTTAAGACCCTTTTTGAAAATTATGGCAAAGTACCAGAAGCCTATTAATATTTTTGATCCAGTACTATCTGCTTTCCATGATTATTCTGGAAATGTTTTATATGAGATAAATGTGGATTGCATGCATGTAGTTTTATAATTTAATTCAATGAAATTATATGTGTGTATTTGCTTGCTTTTAATTCACTCAGAGACTGTTTATAGATATAAGTATATGTACAAAGTGGTAATGATCACAAAGTTTTAAAGCAATAATACACTATTTTAATCTGTTAGTCTGCTCTTCCATTTAAAAATATTTAGTTTATTCACATTCATTTTTTTAAATATTATCCATATTTTTTCTGTGACATAGGACATAAGCAGTCCAATGTTTCATGGTATATATTTTATACTCAGACTTAAAATAACTCTTATTAATTTATATATTTAATCATAATTAGTAAATTTCTCTTCAATTGGCATATATACACACACATACAAATACACACATACGTACATATATATATTTTTGTTGTTTTAAAAAAGTTTTTCACTAATAAAAGGTACTTCTTTTTAAGGATATGTTTTTATAAGTATGAGTTTGTAACATTTTTCCACTATTTGCTCATGTTTTCTCTATTCTGATTTACTCCTATCTCCGTGCAAAATAAATATCTGATTCCTTATTAAAAATATTTAACTGTGTCAGTTATAACACAAATTCCTAGTGGAAGGGAGAGGAAGGCATCCGAAAAGTGACACATTTGCAGTCTTTAGTCTTAAGATGTTGTTCTGTGCCATCAAGTAGAGTGTTACTCATAGTGACTTTCTGAACAACAGATGTGAACCCTATCCTATCTTGTACCATCGTTTCTGACATATTTGAGACCATTGCTAAAGTTATTGTAGGGCCTGTCTATCTCATAGAGGGCCTTCCTCTCTTTTGCTGACCCTACAGCTTTCCAAGCAGGACGTCCCTCCCTGAGGAATAGCCTCTTCTAACAACATACTATGCACATGTTGCTAGGAGAAGCTATTACTTAAAAGAGACCTCACGCTTGTAAAGGGAGAGAGTTGCCAAAAGACAGGACATGGCTCAACCAGATAGAACGATACAGTGACTGCTGTGATGGGCTCAGTGTCAGAAAATATGATGATGGAGCAAGATCGGATAATATAGGATTGAATGGCTTGATGGCACCTAACAACTACAAAAACGTGCTTCTCAAAGGATGTAAGGCAAAGCTTCACCGTCCTTCCATCTAAGAAGTACTCCAGATGTACCTTCTCCAAGATGTATCTGTTCTTTTGGGCAGATCATGGGAATATATTCATGATCTTCTCCAGCACCACAACTCAAAGGCTTCAATAGTCATGAGGCTCATTATCAGACTAATCCTATCAAATCTGTTACTGGAGTTATTTACAAGGATAATACATTTATGAATCTATTAGTCTTAAAAATTATGACAAAAATTAGATTACAGTTTGAAAGAATTGACCTATGGATGTCTTAAGGACTGAAACAATTAACAATGACAACTTCTTTCAACTGTTAGCATTATCTAAAATAGATGACCATAATGATGATTGCTACATTACTTTTTATTCGCTGGGGTTTTTTGCTTGTTTTAAATGTCCACTGCCAAATGTCAGTTTAGACTCATAGTGGGTTTCTAGGACAGAAACAACTGCTGTATATGATGTCTGTGGTTGTAAATTCTTTCCAGGAAGTATGTGCTAGTGGGTAGGAAACCCTGACCTTTTGGTGAATAGCTCAATACTTAATATACAACAGTATTTTCTCAAAAAAAAAATTTAGTTTTATAGTTAGTCCAGGAAGCTGTGGTGGCCTAGTGGTAAAGAATCATTGCTGCTAATCCATTAACACCATGGATCAAAT